CATTAGGGCCTAATGGATGCATTGCAAAACATGGAAAAGAGGTCAGTGATATGTTACATTTGTCTCCTCTTCCATAGTTTTGGTTATTAGAAATATTAATATATAACCTGGTTATATATATAAAATCTGTGGAACTTTGAAAGGTAACTATTCCATGGAATCTTATAATAATCTCTCTTTTAGTATATAGTAAGTCTACAGACACAGATCTAACTATAGAAACAGGTCTAAGTACAGAACATTAGCACTAAAAAAGTGCACTTTTATATTTTTTTACTTTTTGGTAAGTAATAAATAGAATTTTATTCCCTCTTTCAGATTGTTCAGGTTCCAGCAATTGGGGAGGCAAAGGCAATAGATGCCACTGGAGCAGTGGACCTGTTTGCAAGTGGGTTTTTGTACAGATTGGTAAAGGGGCTAAACCTAGAGGAATCCTACAAAGTGGGCTTATGCAATGGTGGCTCTGTTATTCGGGCTCTTGGGGGTGAGGTCACACCAGAGAACTGGCAATGGATGCATAAACAAATGCAGACCAATGGCCTGACTGTCCCCAGTAGTGATGACTGAAATCTCCTGTCAAAGAGGATTTTTTTAGGGTTTGGGTAATCATTATTGCTATTGTTTCATGAGTCAATGTTATTTGGCATTAATGATAGGCCAAATCAATTAACTAACCATGAACTAATCAATATTTTCATAGACCATAAGATTTAAACACTGAAGCCAAGGAAAACTGTACACATTTTGTGCAATAATACTAACCACTTAGGTTGAAAGTATGAATCAAGGTGTGATCAGTAAGATAGATAAATAGACATGCATGCGGATAAAGAACATAGCATGACAAGGTTCAACATAAGCAAATATAGCATGACAAGGGTAGACATAAGAATTTGCCTCTGTTTTGTTCATGTAAAATTGATGAACATTGAGAAAATCCTCAAGGTACTTTAAGTGGCATATGTGGGGCCTAACCTGGGACCAATACCTTAATTGTAAGTAATATTCCTTTTTGTGGGACCTTTTGGTCATTTAAAAAAAAATTATAAAAACTGAGGGCTCTCTCATAGGCTCTTTTGATGTACATGGGTGGCATCCGCTTGATGCTAATTAATGTAGTCATTATTTACTAAATAAATAAATAAATGGTGTAGGAATTTACATAGGCTGCAATACATGTATACAAATATGTATGTGCATGTATACATATATTTATGTCTCGGAAGTTGTAGAAGTTCACTCTCAATTAGATCGTAATTTTAACCACCAATGGTTATATTCAGAAGATGCCCAAACAAAATATAAGGTAAAGAAGGATCTGCAAATGTTAACTACACAGATCAAACCCATGCATATGATGAGAGAGAGAGAGAGACCTCAAACAAAGTTAAATCAGTACCAGCAATTATGTTCCAGACAATTCCAGTGGCCCTCTCTATGCCAATATCTAATAAAGGTGATTGAACGGCATTTAATACAGCATCTCTTGTTCTGGACTTTCCTACACAAGAACAAATACCACAAGATAACTTACAGAAGTTTGGCCACTCATCCTATTTCATCAGACTAAAACAAAGCCAAAAGCAAAATGCAGGAAAAAAATAAAACAAAAATATATCTGTCCATACATTTTCCTTTCTTAGCTTAGTTAAGGTTACTTATAAACCAGCACCTGAACTGGTTCCTTGAAAACCACCCCAGAACTGAAACACAACAAACCTGCTACTAGCAAACTATAAGCACCAATGCAAACTTAGAACTCTGCAGCCTGAAGCTAATGCACACCCAAACTGGGGCCTAATATTCCAGTAGAAACAGCAGCCTTACCATAATAGCAGTCTTCTACCTTACAAACCCGCACCTGAACTGTTGCCTTGAAAACCATCCCAGGAACATACCACAATAACTCGGATCTCACACCAGACCAGAATAACACAGATCAAACAACACAGGGACAGATCAGAAAGAAACAGAAATTAGCTAGACAGTAACCTTAGCCAAGGCAGACTAAAACCTGTTGAAGATGATGTACAATGTCATTGACTGAGTTACTTATATTACTTAATTCAGATAAGTATTCAGTGCTACCTTCGACATATTTAATTTCTTATAGGAATTCATAATATTAAAATTTAAAACCTTAGAAAAGCATTTAAAAAAAACAAAAGGATCGTAATTAAAATCTAGCCACTGAAGAACACAATAAAAAATTGATTTGGCCTATCATTAATGCCTTAAAAATCCCTAGGGATAGTTTGAGCACAATAATTTGACTAGAATTTTGAGCAGGCTGAATGTAATCATATCAAAATCGGACAGTACATAGTTCAGGTTAGGCAAGCACAGCACCAGCATTATGGTGCAGATGCCCAGAGGCAACACATTAAACTGCTCTGTAAGAAAGAGGCTCCAACACGTCCACATCATCCCAAGTGTTGTTAGTAAACTCCTTAGTTCATTAAACATAACATGACACAATAATAGTACTACATTCAGACAGGTGCGGACATACATGACTATACTCACCTCTCTTAGACGAATGCAGACTTCTTTCTTCTCAAGATATGATATACCTAGATTCGCCAACTAAAAGTTAAAACCAGAGAGAGGAAAAAAACATATTGTCAAGATGCTAGACGTGCCTTCAAGTTATCCTTTGTCTTCCCATCTAAATTCAACAATGTTCCATATACATTATCAATCACATTTTTCTCTATATGCATCACATCAAGATTGTGACGCAATTTTTGATTTGCCCAATATGACAATGTAAAAAATATACTTCTTTTCTTCCATGGTTGTGTCTCATCACCATCCGCTTGTTTCTTTCTTTTTTTGTTTTTTTCATTTGCCTTTGTCTTCCCAAATTTGTAATCAAGGTCTTCTGTTTGCATCATGATCTCAAAGCCAGATAGTATATCAGGAGCTGATTCTATTTCTTGTTTGCCATCAAATGATGCTCTATCTTTACGAAATCTATGATCTTTATCCAAGAAACGCCTATGGCCCATAAAACAATATTTCCCTCCATGTTTTAACCATCGAGAATGAGTCTCATAATTACAAGAAGGACATGCAAGAGCACCCTTGGTATTCCAACCAGACAAATCACCATATGCGGGAAAGTCATTTATAGTCCACATTAGAGCTGCATGCATTTGGAAGTTCTCTTTGGAAGATATATCATAAGTTTGTACTCCAACATCCCATAATTCCTTCAATTCTTCACTTGTCAAAATAATTCAGCTCAATGATATCAATTAAAACACCATAATACATGGTGCCTCCTTCAGTGGCCACACAAACCCCACTATTCTGAGTTTTCTTCGTCTCCTCGTAATTTTTAATTCGGAACTTAAAACCATTAACAACATATCGTTTGAATCGTCTAGCTAGAGTGTTTGGGCCTTGGGCAAGCCACTTGATTTCATCAGTAAGTTGTTGCTTTCTTGTGTCATCCATAGCTACAACCTGATATATTATAGAATCCATTAAAATGATTACATTAATCTCTACGCTAAAAATTGTATATGGTAATAGTATTGTTTAATAGCTACATACTTACATATGATCGAAACCACTCACAAAACTTTTCCATATGCATCTTATTAAGAACTTCATCAGTTAGACGACGCGGACGACTTTGTCTCTTTATATGCTCCTTGTGTTCTCCGTATGTTCATTCCTAACTTGTGTTACTATTGCAAGTATTAAAATCGGAAACTCAAACTTATTTATATACCATAACTCATAAATATTGCTTACATCCGATATGGTTGAATTTCATCACTGTTAAATAGCACATAACGATGTGCTTGTATCCATGACTTTTGATCAAGTTCGATATTCATTATTGCCCCTGTAGAATCTTCCACATTTCTTAAGGGTCGATTGAATACAGTTTCAATAGATTCCAAATACCGCAAACAAAATATTAAACACTCTTCAGCTATGTATCCTTCTGCAATAGAGCCCTCTGGATGAGCTTTATTATGAACATAAGATTTTAGTCGTTGGAGATACCTACATGAAAAACAGCATGATTATAGATCGACTAAATTGGATGTCATTGTGATGTGGGTTAAAAACACAAATGGATACAAGTTGTCACACCTAACCTCTCAATGGGATACATCCATCTATAGTGAACTGGGCCAGCAATTTTAGCCTCAGTGGCCAAATGGACGACTAAATGCACCATAATAGTAATAAAGTCAGTACAATTCGAGATGCAAGTCGGTCAAGCTCTTCCACTTGCAAGACTTTGGAACATATTTCCCTAAAGAAACAAGATAACTCAATTAGAGGTGAAGCGACTTTTTTTGGTAATGTTCCTCGTAATGCAATAGGAAGAAGTTGCTGCATCAAAATATGACCATCATGACTCTTCAAACCCATAATCTTACGCTGTCTAAGTTGGATACAACGTTAAATATTTAAAGTATAACCATCTGGGACTTTTGCCCCTTTCAAAACTTTTAAGAAGTCATCTTTCTCTTTTAAAATCATTGAGAAGCAAGCTCGAGGCAAATATGTCTTATTGGAACTGATCTTTTGTGGGTGAAGTTCACGTCTTATACCCATCTCTTGTAAGTCAAGACGTGCCTTCAAGTTACCTTTGTCTTCCCATCTAAATTCAACAATGTTCCATATACATTATCAATCACATTTTTCTCTATATGCATCACATCAAGATTGTGACGCAATTTTTGATTTGCTCAATATGACAATGTAAAAAATATACTTTTTTTCTTCCATGGTTGTATCTCATCACCATCCGCTTGTTTCTTTCTTTTTTTGTTTTTTTCATTTGCCTTTGTCTTCCCAAATTTGTAATCAAGGTCTTCTGTTTGCATCATGATCTCAAAGCCAGATAGTATATCAGGAGCTGATTTTATTTCTTGTTTTCCATCAAATGATGCTCTATCTTTACGAAATCTATGATCTTTATCCAAGAAACGCCTATGGCCCATAAAACAATATTTCCCTCCATGTTTTAACTATCGAGAATGAGTCTCATAATTACAAGAAGGACATGCAAGAGCACCCTTGGTATTCCAACCAGACAAATCACCATATGCGAGAAAGTCATTTATAGTCCACATTAGAGCTGCATGCATTTGAAAGTTCTCTTTGGAAGATATATCATAAGTTTGTACTCCAACATCCCATAATTCCTTCAATTCTTCAACTAAAGGCTGCATATACACATCTATGTCATTCGAAGGGGAGCTCGGACCAGGAATAAGCAATGATAGGATAAAAGAAGATCTTTTCATGCACATCCATGGAGGCAAATTATATGGGACCAATATGACCGGCCATATACTATAACTAGTACTCATATTCCCATAAGGGTTAAATCCATCTGCTGCCAACCCCAACCTGACATTGCGAGAGTCAAAGGAAAAATCTACATATCGAGAGTCGAATGTTTTCCAAGCCATAGAATTGGCAGGATGCCTCATTATGCCATCATTTGTACGACCTTCAGCATGCCATTTCATATAAGCAGCTGTTTTTGAAGACATGAACAACCTCTACAATCGAGGCTTCAAGGGAAACCATCGTAAAACCTTTGCAGCCTTTTTCTTTCTCTTTTTAGATGAAGTACTCATATTATGTTGCAAATCATTCTCATTTGTTGCCCACCTTGAAGCACCACAATGACACACTTCATCATTTGCATGTTCTTTCCAAAATAACATACAATCATTAGGACAAGCGTGAATCTTTTCATAACCAAGACCTAAATCCTTAATAATCTTCTTGGCATCATAAGAGGCTTTCGACAAATTTGCATCTGAAGGAAGCATATCTCTCAAAATTTGAAGCAACATTGTGAATGAGTGGTTGCTCCATCCATTAAGACATTTCAAGTGATACAGATGCACAATTGCTGACAACTTGCTAAAATTCTTGCACCCTTCATACAAAGGCTTCTCAGCATCTTTCAGTAAGTCGTAAAATTTTTGTGCCTCTTCATTAGGATCTTCTTGAGGTCGTTGCATGCTTGGACCTTGATCAGATGGTTCTGGTAAATTACTTTCTTCTGCATATTCATCTATATTTTGGGTGTGCATGGGAAACACGTCCCGCAACATGTCACGTATATCACCATACTCAGGTCGTATTTCTTCATGGCTTTGACTAGTTCTACTAGAAGTCGTTGCAGACATAATTTCCCCGTGAAGATACCAACAATTATAACCCGGACTAATTCCATAGGATACCAAGTGATCATGTACAACTTCTAGGGTCAACATGTATGAATTCACACATCTCATACATGGACATGAAATTGTTCCATCATTAGATACATTGTGAGAAGCAAACTCTAAAAATTCTTTAATCCCTTGCATAAAATCTCTTGACAATCTACTCTTCTTCATCCAACTCTTATCCATTGATAATTAACTAAATTGAAGTACCACGAAACAAAATAAAAAGTTAAATATATTAGATAAAGAGTTATCTATACTAATATAAAAAAGCACTACACAATTTAGTGTAGGTACACATAATTGAATTATTTGTATATGACTTTTCATTTATATCTTTTCCAAAAATTGAACTATTTTATATTGATATGTTTCATTTTTTTTTATTTGTTTTCTTTTATTTCATTTTCACAATTTATGTAGCATTTTAATTTTTATGAGTTATGATTTTTTTTACCCTGTCGACCCCATTTGATGGAACATAAGGCTTAGTTTGGTTTGGTTATGATTTTTTACTGTCTTTCACGTGCACATGCAAATACATAATGAAAGTTTGGTTATTGAAGGTTAAGAAAATCTCTTGTACAATACATTATATGGTTTAAACTCCATGATTAAATTTAAGTATTACATAATAGATAAGAAAAATCTCTAATATAATACACTATTTCTAAGAAAATACTACAATTCTACCTTAGTACATAAATTTTTTATGAATTAATGGGAAAACAATAACATTGAAAAAGTAATCTATACTAAACTTGTGGCACATCGATTTGTGTCCAGATTAGGGATTCATCTTTTATTTGAGTAATTATAACATGCAGCATTCTACTCACGTAATGTATACAATGTACACGTATAGTTTTTTTAGTATCTGTGTTTCATAGTTAATAATGTGTCAAGAAAACAATCAGCTGCAAAGCTAAAGCTAATAGCGAATGGGTCCAACAATATATATCAAACTCTCAAAGAACTTCAAGTACTGCATACATAGTTCATTTCTAATCTCGCTCTTCTTTCGTCAGTTAAATCACATTCTTCTGCAACACCATTTATGCATGTGAACCAGACAAGTAACACCAAAGTAAATGATAATAAGCAGACCTGATGTGAAAGAGAACTGTATAGGAATAGATGACATCAAGATCATCAAGTTCTAGACACTAAACAGAAACAACTTAACTTGTAATATTAAATGTTTAGCACAACCAATATCAACAAAATTAATTCACAAGAAAGTCACTAATTAAGTGATTCCCCTCCCAAAAAATTAATATTTTTTGTTCGCAGATACATGAAACGAAGAAGTAATAAACCAATAAACAATTAACATTATCCTCAAAAACTAACATTCCAATCCTGCAGCAACAGATTCCAACACTAACATTATCCTTAAAAACTAACATTCCAATCCTGCAGCAACAAATTCCAACACTAATTTCAATCAAAGATCACAACATAGCAGAGATTCACAGCTCAAGATGGCATAAATAACATACCATAGTGCAAAAATAGTAACCGACGATGGTAAAATAAAATGGCATCATTCGGAAGAAATCAAAAAGCTGCCCAAGTCTCCCAAATGGATAACTCTCAAACAGCCTAATGGATAACTCTCAAGCAATGAAACCTAGTTGTACAACCAATACACCAGGAGCCGCCACATTGTAGCTGCCCCATTACACATCTGGATATACCCAAAGCACCAATGACAGCAGACTAGTGCAGAACAGCAGAAGCCAACCACAAGCCACAACCCCCTTACTATTAACACTACCTCCCACCCTTACAGTCATGCATAACAGAGTTTAACTGACAGAGTTGAAAAGCCAAGAATTCAGACCAGTTGTAGGACACACCAGAAAGCATAATACCCATTATGCACACCAGAAAGCACACCAGAAAAAATTTGAATATTTGTATTGTTTGAATATAAATTTTCAAACAAAAATAAAATATTTGAATATAAACTTCAGAACAAAAATAAACTACAAAACAAAAATGAATGGTGTCCGCAAATTTTCTGTGATGTGCATCCCAAAATTTTTTCCCCCCTGATTTGAGTAAAATTTCCCCCTATTATGCCAGCTCACAAATAAGAGTGCCTTGGTGACATAAAGAAATATGGTTCTAAGGGATTGTTTGGCTTACCTAAAAAGTCACTAAAAAAAATCATAAAATCATAAAAAAGGTCAAAAATTCCTTCCATTCTCTCTACTATTTGCATGTTTTTGTATAGAAGTCAAAATCATTCTCAAACACTAATTTTTTTCACCTCATATTTTAACTAAACAGGCACTAAAAAGTTGATTTCCGAAAAGAAATTATTGCAAGTGTTTGAAGAACTAAAAGTGGTTATGCAATATATCCATCAAGACATGACAAGCCGTAGCACCCACAAAACATCCACAACCTCAAGAAGACAAAAGCTGAACTTTATATTTATATGTTAATGGAAACATCTAGTGGGTTCATTTTCTCAAATAATAATATAAGGAGATATATGTACATGAGTATCATTTATGTCACCATTGTTGTTCCAGAAAGAAAACTCTGTGCAAAATTGTAACTTTTTTTGTTTGAGAAAAACAGTGGTTTTGGCTGCTGTAAGTTATTCCATGTTAAGTGTTTCTACAAACTCTCTGTTCCAGTTGACTTAGTGGTGATGCATTCTCCTCAGTATTCTCTTTTTTATCATTCTTAATTTTATTTCCTTTTTCTTTTTTCTTGGTTTATTTTTCCCCTTGACTCTCCTTAATGGAGGTAATTAAATGGGATAATCTCCCAAGGTGTTATAGTGATTGGGTTGATCTCTATGGCCCGTTAATCTCAATCTTTGAATTTTTGTTGAACATACTACTGGTTAATCTCAATCTTCTTCAAATTTTCATTGAACATACTATACATGAACTGATTATCAACATATAGTGTTAGCATTTTATATTTAAAAGTTCTCTAATATCATACGCATCTATTTAATAGATATATAACAACAACCATGGGAATTCCCCAAAACAGATAGTCAAGGGATGTCCTCTGGGCTCATTGCTTCCCAAAGGGGCTAGTCAAGGGATGTCCTTTGGGTTCATTGCCCCTTGTAGATTTCTGATGTGTGACTCGGCACATGGAAATCCAGGTTGGGGTCAGTACATACATATATTGAATACTAACAATTTTTTTTTTCTATTTTCTAAATTATTTTTCCAAATTAAAATCATTCAAGATGTTCATGAAATCCTTCAAAGTAAAGAAGTTTTGGAGAGATTAGAAGCGTTGAATGGAGTGGCAAGTCGTTAGATTAACAATGAATTTCATTGACCCAAACTTGACCGAAGACAGTATAGGAAAAACATAAACAGAGATAGTAGAAGGGAGAATGGCAGAGAGATAAACCGAGAGACAAGAAGAAAGAAAGGGATAGAGAAAGAGAAACAGAGAAAGCAAACTGACCTTGAAATCACAGTGGGAGGATGATGAATGCTGCGGGGAAGGATGAACGCCGATACGTCGCTGCGGGGGAGGATGAACTCTGCTACTTCGCCAAACAGGGGCGCTGGACTAGGGCACAGTTTTAGATGAGTTGAACGTTTTTTTTTTTTTTTTGACTGAAATTCTGATATGTTATATATCCACTCCCCACGGAAAAAAAATCTGATTTCGCGTGAAATCAGAGTTCGATTTGGCGGGACTCTATTTTGATTGGCTTTTTAGTAACGGTTGTGTACAAACCGTCATTATTAAAAAATATGTTGCAGCGTTTTAGGTCAAAAATGTTACTAAAAATTTAATTTTTAGTTGTGGTTAATAACCGCTACAATAGCCCATCTATAGCAGCATTTTCTAGGCCCTACAATTAAAAACGCTGCTAAAACTTGATTTTCTTGTAATGATACCTCGTTGCTCGGAGGATATGAGAGCTTTCAGCCATTTTCTGTTAGCTTCCGCTGGGCCCTTCTCAGCGAACAGGGTGCCCTTTCCGACAAGTATGGTGCCCTTTCTGGCAAATGCATTGACGACGGGGGAAAGACAAAAAGCATGACTCAACTGTGCCCTAGTTCATCATTTTGACCAATTTTTTTGTTTTGCTTTTCTACTAAAACAATTTTGACCGGCATGAGAGTTAGATTAACATGCTTGTTCAATTTTCTGATTTGAAATCATGCAAGTTAGGTTATGAGTACTGAAAATTTTCCTTTTTTGAGTCCAAGAAAATGGTCCAGTTTTTTGAAAAAAATAGAATAATTTTCGAGAGAATTAGTCAACCTCAGTAAAAATTCTCAAAACTGTTTTTGCAAACAGCTACTGCTCAACGAGCATGAAACCTACTCTCGAGATGCACAACCTCAGATCCGAAGGAGAATTGCCCCTTGTCTAAACGACACTGCATGGCAACGGAAAGTTACCCCTTGTTGAATAGCACCGCAGCACTTTGAACGGCAACGAAAAGTTGCCCCTTGTTTGAATAATACCGCAGCACACTGGACGGCAATGGAAAGTTGCCCCTTGTTTGAATAGTACCGCAGCACACTGGACGGCAACGGAAAGTTGCCCCTAGTCTGGATAGCGCCGCAGCACGCTGGACGACAACGGAAAGTTGCCCCTAGTCTGGATAGCGCCGCAGCACGTGGCAACCAGTCATCACAATGACAATTACAACCAAATTCTCAGACACAGAGAAGACAAAGATGACCAGAACCAACACATGGATACAATCAATTTGAAGTGTTTTACGGCTGGACTTCAGGATGAAGTTGCCTACGTATCCCAAAGATGGGAATCAAGCCTTACGTAGTTCGGGGTTAAGGTACACTCGTGTATTTAACCTCTCCTTTTGCGCTCTAACTTTTGCCAAGGTCGCCCTTCCGGGTTTTCAACCTTGCGAGCTTTGTTCTTCTTTTCTTTTCATTTTCTTTTCTTTTCATTTCTTTTCATTTTCTTTTCTTCAATCTTTTCAAGATTTTTATTTCTTTTTCTTCATTTTTTGCATTTTTCTTTTCTTTTTTCTTCTTTTTTTTTTCGCTCTAACTTTTGCTTGGGTCGCCCTTCCGGGTTTTCGGCTCAGCGAGCCTCTCAAGGGTAAAAGTGTATCTTTGTCCATGTCAAATGGTTTTGAGATCCTGAAGTCATCTGAATCCAGGAGAATGACTGAGAGCGAGGGTCGAGACTCGAGGCTGAGAGCGATC